TGTAACTAATTACTTTCAAAAGACAGTAACTAGTAATATATAATGTATTACATTTTGGAAGTAACTTGCCCAACACTGATCATAACCATATGTGCTTTGTACTTTGGTGTGAGCATTTTATATAAATTCTGACCTTCATGTCATTCCAAACCTGTTCTTTCTTCCGTGGAATACAAAAGATATTTAGCAGAATGTTGAGGCTGCTCTTCATTAATGCAAAACTTCAACTAGTATGGCTTGTAACAAGTTGGTCACATGACATGCAAAAACTATTGACATTAATGCTGCCTTCACGTGTCATTGGAAATTTCCTACTTTCCATTTCTGAAGTCATAATTAAGAGTTTGTCATATTCAGTTGCTTTGTTAATGAATCATGGAGGGTGCTTACTTGCTACCATATACTTTAATCGCATTAAATAGGCAGCTTGCTGACAATTTAGAAATTTCATTCATATACATGCTATTTTTGCTGTATATTAAACATACAATATGCATCAAATTATTATTTATATATGTAAATGTGCAAGACGTTCACAAGACAAGGCAATGTTGCTGATGTTTATGGCCTGCCCAACTTGGGAACAGGGGTATCAAGAGTTTTCTAGTTGTAAATACAACTTTAGAGGCCCTTTATGTCCAAATGCACCAGGTTTGATTGTGCATGAGCATGCATGAGAATCAACTATAGACAAAATGACTAATATGACTTCAGAATACTCAGAATATAATGCACTGCTTTTATGATCTTTTTTTATGGTGCTTTGTCCTGTTTCACAGAAGTTCTTTCATTGGGTGAAACTTAGCTTGAGTAGGCATGGAGCATGCAGCTTAAGAGTTTGATTGATCATTGTTTTTATTTGTGGTACTGTAGTGTTGAATTATGGGATGTGCATTGGGAGTGTAGTACCACATGGTGGCAGTGCTAATCCAAATCATTTTCTGTCACATTTCTGCTTTACGCTTTAAGCTATTCAGGAACTTACTGGCCTGACCTGAATTCAGTTAACCTACTCCCTTAAATTGAACAGAAACCATTTCAGCGCATAGACTTCATTTAGACCTTATTGCAGGAAATACTGTCCAACTTACAGTCATTTCAATCAGTTGATGCCTTTTATGTTAAAGTGGAAAGGGCATCTTTAATTTCCCTTAAATAGAATTTCTTTACTGTACTTGTCAGAGATTTATTCTGTTATTATTGAGCGTATGCGTCTGAACATCTCAGCGTTCAGGCGCCATGCTGTTTGGCCTCTTAAAGGACACTGCTGCATTACTTTTTCTTGTAGCTGCTTTTGACTTTTTTGACCTGCTTTTAATAGTTCAGGCGCCATGCTGTTTGGCCTCTTAAAGGACACTGCTGCATGACTTTTTCTTGTAGCTGCTTTTGACTTTTTTGACCTGCTTTTAATAGTGTGTGTGTGTGTGTGTGTGTGTGTGTGACAGGGGCTGTTACAGACTAATTAATCTCCTGCTGCCCTTGCCATATCAGCTGTTCACAAATTAACCAGAGTAAATAGTCCTGTTTCTACCTCCTTGTGTCCCCACAGAGGACAAGAAAGAAAGAGGGAGTATGAGTAAGTCAAAATGGTGAGGATGTATATAAAGTTTTAATGTATTAATTCTGGGGACAAGTATGTTCATCTAAAGGTCCTATCCAGGAAAAATGGCATAAAAACGATATCTTCAGTGTGTATTTTTCTGTTAACCAGTCACAGACATTTTGCTTGTTTTCAACTTTCCACCCTCAAATATTATACTATTATTATTATTAGCCTATTAATAATAAAAATAATGTATTGAAATATATTTTAAAATTATTTTTTGTAAGTATACTGATCGTATCACATAAATCCTAAGTAATACCCAGCGATAAATGGGGCTCTCTGAAGTGACGTCCCTTTAAAAATGAATGGTCACCTTTAGCATTGGCTGTAGAAGAAAAGCTCTAATGGCTGTTGTCTCAGACAGTCCGACCCCATGACACGACATTTCAAAGTGATTATAAAATGTCCTGTGCCACAGACACTAGACGCCGTCTGCCTCTCAGATCAGGACACTAACAGCTACCCAACCTAAAATCTCTTTTATTGAATTGACTTTGGATGTCCCCTTGTGTCACTTTTGTTTGTTTCTGACTTATTTTAAGGCTCTGACTTGGGGCTAGCTCATCTGGTAAAGGGAATTGGGTAGTGCTATGTATTTTACAAGTTTTGGAGAAATTAATGTAACATTACATCAGTTGCTCACCAATGGATCCTCTGCAGTGAATGGGTGCCGTCAGAATGAGAGTACAAACAGCTGATAAAAACATCACAATAATCCACAAGTATTCCACACAACTCCAGTCCATCAATTAATGTCTTGTGAAGCGAAAAGCTGAGTGTTTGTAAGTAACAAAGCCATCATTAGGATATTTTTAATAGTCCATAATATTGCTTTCCCCAGTGTATAAGCCATCTTGTCTGAATCAGGAGAGAAATATGCACAGATCAAGCACCGAAAACAGTTCAAAACAGTTCTAAACCATTATACAAGCAGCATGCAGAATATATAAATGTTTCCGTTTGTACATACTGTTGAATATGACCACAAAAAAATTCACAATCAATCACTTGAAGTGTATTTTATACTTATAGTAACTTCAATAAACCTCTTGTTTTGAATGTCTGAATTAGACGCGTTGAAGTAATTTTTATTTGTGTGTGTGTGAACAAAAATGTCAGTGTGTGTAACTGTCCTGTGCTTCTAATGGAGGATTTTTTAAAATTTTATTACACATGCTCATACACTAATTGTTAAAAGTAAATAATTACCAAAAAATAAAAATAAAGAAATTAAAAAATTGATAAGCTAATTCCAACACACTCTCTTGACAACTCTTAATTCATACAACAACATGGTGAAATTGTATGATATTGTGCAACCAGGATTGTACAAAATGGTATGGTTTATTATTATTATTAATCATGGTTAGATTTAGGTTTAAGTTGTAAAGATTTTTACTACTTCTCATAAGGTTGGGTTACATTTTAAATTAGTCTTTAAATTCTTTTCATCTTTTCATTCGTTTTCATTTGGACATCCATGTTAGTTGCTGATCCGTGTGTGTGTGTCTCAAAGTAAGGAAATCATTTGAAAGACAAGCACCTGCTCATAGCTGTGGATCCTCAGTCTCAGGTAGTGAAAGGGAGGGAAGAAAGGAGGGATGGGAAGCAGAGAAGGAGGGACACAATCTCACAGACTGAGAAAGAGGCACAAAACAAGTACCCTCTGTCATAGAGAGACAGAGGAGTAGAGACTGTTAGAGTAGGAGGTTAAGAGGGAAAATAGAAGAATGTCTCACAGGAAGAGGAGCTTCACTTTTGGAGCATATGGGGGGTAAGACACACTACTGGGGATTTGTGAGGACAGATGACGGTGGCTTTGAATTAAAACTATATATAATAGTTTAAATATATGTCATTTTAGTATCAATTCAGGAGTTTTGTACAAAGTGTATAGTACAACTGGCAGACAAACTAATTAAATAACTGGATTATTTTATTTTAAAGTTTCTTTTACTCACAAAAATACCTTCTCACATGTCTGTTGTCTATGAATGTCTGTTGTACTTGCACATTTTGTCATTTAACTCTGTTATGCCTGCTTGGTTAAAACGGTTCAGTTGAACTGCTGACGGTTTGATGATTGTAAGCTGATGTCAGAGTTCGCTCAGATGTGTTTCTCTGACAAAAAGGGCCAATGGAAACATGAGTCGTGTAGTAATTTGTGACATTCATCTCGTCCCTATTTCCTGAAACGTTCTATGTAAAGTTTGAAGCACTTTTGAGTTGAAATGACAGATTATTGAAATAGATCCACCATAATGACATTGTGTATTGTGATACATCTGTTGCTCTTTGGCTTTTTACCCACATTGTCAGGTCTAACAGGTTTGTTGCGTTTGAAACTGGTTCTGTTTGATCCAGCGTGTTTACTGACACATGCTCATACAAATGCACACTGATCCTGATCACTCGTGGTGGTTTATAGGCCTTGTTTGTACATTCAGCGGCTGGGCTCCAATATTTACTGATGAACTTATGTGGTATTTACAGTGCATTTGTGTAAACTGAGTAGTAATCAAATACAGTTTGATTTTATTTTTTAATTTAAAAAATTGCATACGACAAAAAATTGCATAGGACAAATATTTCAAGCTTTTTGCACGTATGGTATAATACAATTTTACCAAATATATCATTTTGTAATTAGTTGTTGCATTTTCTGAAGAAAATGTCAGGGGTGTATATCTGTATAAATACTGTTTAATGATATTTCACCCAAAAATGAAAATTTGTTGAAAATTTACCCTCAGGCCACCCAAGATGTAAATTAGTTTATTTTTAAATCAGAACAGATTTAGAGTAATTTTGCATTACGTCACTTGCTTTAAATGATGGATTTGTTTCTTGCAAACACATAGCTTTTCAGTTCACAGTGTATTATTTGATGGACTGGAGTGGTGTGGATTACTTGTGGATTATTGTGATGTTTTTATCAGCTGTTTGAACTTTCATTCTGACGGCACCCATTCACTGCAGAGGATCCATTGATGAGCAAGTAATATAATGCTACATTTCTGATGAGGAAACAAACTTATCTACATCTTGGGTCTATTTCAGTAATTAAAAAAATTTAATTATTACAAAAGTGCATCCTCCTGCCTGGCACTTCGGCAGTAAGTCATATAAGCATAGAAATTTAAGCAAGAAATAGCCTTTGATTAATTAACATGCATGTAATGTAATTAAAATGAGATTTTTTTTTTTTTAAGATTTATTTTTGGCGTTTTATGCCTTTCATTTAGATAGGACAGTAGGTCGACAGGAAGCGAAGTGGTTGAGAGAGAGAGGGCGGTGCGATCGGGAAAGGTCCACGAGCCGGGACTCGAACTCGGGACGCCCGAAGCGCAAAGGCGCTACATGTCGACGCGTTGCCCACGAGGCCATCGGCGCGGACTTAAAATGAGATTTTAATCAGTTGACACTGACAGCCCTGCTTCATTATTCAAAATAAATCTGAAAGACTGTAAGCTCCAGCAGCTAATGAATGATCAAAGTCACGGTTTGTCCTTTCTCTCAAGGTTATGGAAATATTTGTTACTCTATGCACTACCTGAAGTGTTAACTCATTTTGTTGACACAACAGCCACACTTTTCCCTTGCACTCAGCAGTAGGTTGGAGGACACACTAGTGCTATGATTGACAGTGGAGGTCTGACATTTACAGCAAAGGCAGTAGATGGAGATATCCAGATGCATCTGTTACTTTCGGTCTCAGTTTTTTGTTTAAGGATTTGATCAAGGTTATTGATTCTTGTTCAACACTTTCTCGCAAAAAATGTGTAACACTTGGCTCAGGTCACTCATATTGTATGATGCATGTTTTTTTTTTTTTTTACCAAACAGATGGGTTTGTTTGTAGAACCACCTTGTGGCAAGATACGAAATGACACCAATTACATTAGCCAGGAAAATGGGGTTTCATTTTCATGCGAAACTGCCATTGTGTTTAGCGTTGTCTATTTTGATATTGAGTCTTATGAAAGGTCTTATTCAGAAACACATCTGAGGACTGAGCTGTTTTTAAACCAAGCAGAGTCATAGCGTATTCTTAGAACAAAGCCGCAGCTGCTCTTCAGAAAAATGGTAGAGAAGCTGCTTCTCTCATTAGCGTCTCTAAACCGCAAATGCCCTCCGTACAATTCTACAGCTTTTGTCGAGCAGAACTGTTGAGATTTCCATCAAAATCAAAAGAAATGTTATACATAAAATACAAAGTTAAAGTGTGAGGGGTTAAAGGTTTGTCATACCGCACGAGGTATGTTTCAAAGGATTTTAGCGATGGCAATTGCTTGTATTAATTGATGATGTGCTCCAGTGGTCCTTCATTATCCTATTGGTCCTCACCCTTCGTTAACTTGATAAATTTGCTGAGTCATTATCACATCAAGTGCATGAAGTGTTCGTCAGCAGTGAATTGATTAGCTTTTAGCATTTAGCAGGCTCTGGGTGGAGATTGATTGGCAGAATGTGTTAAAAGCGTGAAATCAATTACCGCTCTCTTTGTGTAATGGCTATAAGGGCTTATGGTTGTGTCAGTAAGTATACATTCAAAAATGCATGTGTTTTTAAAAATACCATGTTTCTTTTCTCCACAGAGTGGACAAAACCTTCTCCAGGTCAAGACATATTTGGTAAGTCCTTCTCTTTCTTGAAAGTAGTTAGTATTAAACTCGTTTCATAACGAGTGTTTGAAATAAATCCTTCTGTGAGATGATGTGGCTTCTTACACAGAATAAGGCACGCAACATATTTCATAGTTTTTAAGCAGTGATAAAGGCATTGCATTATAAATATACTTTATTTTAATGAAAATTATAATAATAAGAACTCAGATAAACCGTATATTGCCGTAGTCGTGTGTTTATTAGTCACGTTGAATCTTCTGTTTATTCAGCTGCAGCGATAGGCATTTTCTGGGTTTCATCTCGATTCCATTTTGATTTATCGTGCAGCCCTAATTAAAAGTATAATTTAATGTTAGCAATCAAATTTTAAATAATTCAATCAATGTATGCATTAATTACACTAACGTTTCCTAAAAATTTTTTTTTTGAAAACTGAAAATATTATCTTGGTACAGACACACAGGGGAAATAATAACTGTCTTTCCAAATTAAAGGTCAGAATTTAAGTAAGATTTTCCAACTTTTCCACGTAGGAAGTAGGGAATGTGTGCTTTCCAAGTTAAATGTAATGCAGCACACACAATTGATGGTCAAATAAAAGTCTTAATCGGCTGTTTTTGTTGTTGTTGTTTTTTCTCTAAGCATCCTTGTGTAAATTGATAAATGTACTTCAGAAGCAAAATTGAATATTGAAGATGCTTATTTTCAGAGAATATTTATTGCATTTTTTTTTTATTGATTTGCCATATATGTAAATGTATCTTGTTTTAAGGATATTTGGATGTTTTTGGGTTTTTTGGAAAAGAAAGAACTCTGGAAAAAATATAGTTAAATTTTTAAAATATATAATTAAACTTATATTAAAAAATATACAATATTTTTATTAATATTTTTCCAAGTGTAGTGTATCACATATTTAATTTAAACCCATGGCTTTTGTCACATAATTATTTTCTCCAAACTTTGTACACATGATTGGACACAAGGCGCAAAGTTTGTCATCACATTCCATAACTGTAAAGGTCACCTCAACTACTGTATGATTTGTGTGAGCAGTTGAAAAGGTCAGGTTGGATCCAGTTACCTCACAAATACGAGCAAACTCTCTGATATCTTTCACATCAGCCACCCCCACCCTATACTGCTGGTGGAAAGTTTTACGCCTGCTTGACTGACAGCGTTATTACTACAGAGGGAGCTGGTTATGTGTAAAGCTGGTTTATAATGGCTGTGAAGAGGATGTGTCTGGAGAGAAGAGGGAACGTGAAGGGAGAGGGCGAATGCCGGAATGTAATTATGGCGGGACCTGGGTTTCACTCCGCGCGTATCATCCCAGATGAGCGCTGTAGTGCATGCTAATGCGAAGAGAGACCCAAGAGAAACAGCACACATGAAAACTAGCTATCTATATACTGTTCTTTTCCCCCTTGCTTTCTTAGTTGTTTTCTTTTTTTCCTCCTTTATATCCCCCTCTCTGTCTTTTACGCTTTTCGCTTTCACATACTCAGAGAGTAAGTGTTTCAACAGTTTGCTTTAGTTGAATAAAACATGAAGCAAACACATTAAGTACCCTCGTCCTGAGGTTTGTTGTCAGATAAGCATCCGAATTTTGTTGTACATGTATTGGAAGAAACAAAAGACATTCTTTGAATATGAAAACACTGAATATGTATCTGTTTGCACTGTAAGTTATTGTTTTCATAGCATTAACAATCCCCTGCCCTTAAGTATTAAACTTTGGGGTGTAACTCGTACTGCTACATAATCTACATAATTGATACCTCACATTAAAGGGATAGTTCATGCAAAAATTAAAATTCTGTCATCGTTTAAACTTTACTGACCCTCAAATTTTTCTAAACCTGTATGAATTTATTTCAGGTGTTGACATACCATCAACTATTTTTATTTTTTTTGGAATTAGTGCTCTGCATTTAACCCATCCAAAGTGCGCACACACGCAGTGAACACACACACCCACCGTGAACACACACCCGGAGCAGTGGGCAGCCATTTTATTTTTGTTGCGGCGCCCGGGGAACAGTTGGGGGTTCGGTGCCTTGCTCAAGGGCACCTCAGTCATGGTATTGAAGGTGGGAGAGAGCGCTGTACATTCACTCCCCCCACCTACAATCCCTGCCGGTACAAGACTCAAACCCACAACCTTTGGGTTATGAGTTCGACTCTCTAACCATTAGGCCACGACTTCCCCATTTGGTTACCAACATTCTTCTTCTTTTTGTTCAGCTGAAGAAAGAAAGCTGAAGAAAGAAACTCATACAGGTTTGGAACAATTGAAGGGTGACTAAATGATGACAAAATTTTCCTTTTTTAGGTGAACTATCGTTTAAATGGCTATAAAATGTTGTTTTTTTCTTTTTCCAATGGATCATGCAGTAGTTTATTTACTTTTTTTGTTGTATTTTATGTTGTAGGCTTTATTTTATTTTCTAATTTAAAATACAGTATTTACTAAACATTTACAACATTTGAGAACTAAAAAGATTTATATAGTATTTTTAATATTTATACAAAATATTAAAATAAATAATCATATTTAATATTACATATTTATTATTAAAAACATGTATTTATTATCTCTTGATGAATCTGTTGATTATGTAACTAGTTCTGTTAATTGGTTAAGCAGGCACAGTTATTGTTCAGTTCGAAAATGTCACATGATCAAATGTCACCCGATTTATTTGCCTTTTCTAGAAATATAAAAATGTAACACTATTTGCAAAAAAAAAAAAAAACGTTTTGGAAACATTCTTTTTAAAAGCAATACTTACAGTAATGAATTGGCTGTAAAAGCAGGTTAAAGCGCATTTGTAACTTTAATCATTTGCCTTTTGTCGTGCATATTTGGAATTTCACTGCACCAAGTCACTTTGCGTCCGAACACTTCCTCTCATATACGCCCACTGCTGCTATCAGAGCTTGTGTTGTTTGGAGACACAATGCTTTTGTGATTAGACCTATTCAGATCAGTATTGCGCATCAGCCTGGTATTCTCTTCTGTATGGCATGAATGTCTCTGCTGTTACAGTTGCTGAGAAGTGGCCCGTGTGGGCTTTCTAAGCTGGTCTTCATCTTGCAGGCTTGAGAAAATTGTTAAAACAGCTCTCAGATTTATAAGAAACAGCCAGTAAAAGGGCGTATGGAGGTGATAGTAAAAGCTGTGCGCTGGATGGGGCACCCCTGCGTCCTTTCGCGCCCGGGGAACAGTTGGGGGTTCGGTGCCTTGCTCAAGGGCACCTCAGTCATGGTATTGAAGGTGGGAGAGAGCGCTGTACATTCCCTCCCCCCACCTACAATCCCTGCCGGTACAAGACTCAAACCCACAACCTTTGGGTTATGAGTTCGACTCTCTAACCATTAGGCCACGACTTCCCTATTTGGTTACCAACATTCTTCTTCTTTTTGTTCAGCTGAAGAAAGAAAGCTGAAGAAAGCTGAAGAAAGAAACTCATACAGGTTTGGAACAATTGAAGGGTGACTAAATGATGACAAAATTTTACTTTTTTAGGTGAACTATCGTTTAAATGGCTATAAAATGTTGTAGCTGAAGAAAGAAACTCATACAGGTTTGGAACAATTGAAGGGTGACTAAATGATGACAAAATTTTCCTTTTTTAGGTGAACTATCGTTTAAATGGCTATAAAATGTTGTTTTTTTCTTTTTCCAATGGATCATGCAGTAGTTTATTTACTTTTTTTGTTGTATTTTATGTTGTAGGCTTTATTTTATTTTCTAATTTAAAATACAGTATTTACTAAACATTTACAACATTTGAGAACTAAAAAGATTTATATAGTATTTTTAATATTTATACAAAATATTAAAATAAATAATCATATTTAATATTACATATTTATTATTAAAAACATGTATTTATTATCTCTTGATGAATCTGTTGATTATGTAACTAGTTCTGTTAATTGGTTAAGCAGGCACAGTTATTGTTCAGTTCGAAAATGTCACATGATCAAATGTCACCCGATTTATTTGCCTTTTCTAGAAATATAAAAATGTAACACTATTTGCAAAAAAAAAAAAAAACGTTTTGGAAACATTCTTTTTAAAAGCAATACTTACAGTAATGAATTGGCTGTAAAAGCAGGTTAAAGCGCATTTGTAACTTTAATCATTTGCCTTTTGTCGTGCATATTTGGAATTTCACTGCACCAAGTCACTTTGCGTCCGAACACTTCCTCTCATATACGCCCACTGCTGCTATCAGAGCTTGTGTTGTTTGGAGACACAATGCTTTTATGATTAGACCTATTCAGATCAGTATTGCGCATCAGCCTGGTATTCTCTTCTGTATGGCATGAATGTCTCTGCTGTTACAGTTGCTGAGAAGTGGCCCGTGTGGGCTTTCTAAGCTGGTCTTCATCTTGCAGGCTTGAGAAAATTGTTAAAACAGCTCTCAGATTTATAAGAAACAGCCAGTAAAAGGGCGTATGGAGGTGATAGTAAAAGCTGTGCGCTGGATGGGGCACCCCTGCGTCCTTTCTCATGGGACGAGCATGTGCTCGGGATAAAAGCTGCCGGGGACAACAGGGACGCTTTTAAGTGATGCTGTTGATGCACTCAGGAAGGACAATATTAATAATATGGTGCTTTGATTTGTACCATAGTCCTGAATGATTACCATGTTTATATGCCATAGTATTTATGTAGTACACCAAGGTGCCATGGATCATGCACCATACATATCCAAAAATCCTTGATATTATCGCAGGACATTATCCAAAAATAAGTTGCAGTAAGTTGACGGTTTTGTTTTGTTTTAATGATTAGCTACATTTAAAAACAAAAAAATATTTATCGTCCAGCTGTAGTTCTTGGAATGAACTACCATTTCTGTTCATCGGTCAAGCATACATAGTTATTGGTCAATGCTATAGTCTCAGAATGGTTAAATGTTGTCTGATTAATTGCCTGGCAAATATTTGTGACCCTGGATCACAAAACCAGTCATAAGGTCCAATTTTTT